TTCTTTAGTTTTTTCTTGGAGTCTTTCAGGTTCTCTGTATAGTATCATAACATCTGCAAATAATGAGTTTTACTTCTTCCTTTCCAATTTGAATGCTTTTTGTTTTTCTTGTCTGATTGCTGTGGCTAGGACTTCCAATACTGTGTTAAATAAAGGTGGTAAAAGTAAGCATCTTGTCTTGTTCTTGATTTAAAGAGAACACTTTTAGCTTTTCCCCACTGAGTATGTCAGTTGTGAGTTTGTCATGTATTGCCTTTATTATGTTGAGGTATGTTCCTTCTATTCCTACTTTGCTAAGAGTTTTGTATCATAAATGGATGCTGGATTTTGTCAAATGCTTTTTGTGCATCTATTGATATGACAATGATTTTTATCTTTTCTTTTGTTTATGTGACGTATCACACTAATTGATTTACAGATATTAGACCAACTTTGCATCTCAGGAATGAATTCCACTTGATCGGGGTATATGATATTTTTAATGTATTGCTGAAATCAGTTTGCTAATATTTTGTTGATAATTTTTGCATCTGTATTCATCAGGGATATTGGCCTATAATTTTCTTTTTTTTTATTGTTTTTTTCTGGTTCCAAAACCAATTTTTTTTATATGTAGAAATCGGCTCCATATTCAAAATCTCCAGGAAGAGCAATGTCACAAATCTTCATAAGCTTACTTCAGAGTTTAATAAACTTCAAACTTATAATATTCTTCTTTGTTATTAGTCTAAATTATTTTATGTATATTTTTATTTTTCAAAGGGATGGTTAATTTTTTTTCCACTCAGGTAGTAAGCTAGTCATTTTCTCTATCTTCACACTTAAATTAAGGATCCTAAATGAATATGAAGAAATTGATTTTGTGGTCTAAAGAAATTTTGTTACCAAGAATGTATTGTATGCATTTATACTGATAAGTTCTTTTTTTAAAAATATAGCTAGCTTTAGATTTTAACATTGAAGTATATCTCATGTTAGTATGTAACACATTTGATTCTGAAGCAAATCCAACCAGGTATTAAGTAAGAAACAAGCCATGGGGCTTGTCTGTATATAAATTCTAGGGAAATCTTAGCTGTAGAACTTATAAATATGAGTTGTATGTTGAAAAAAAATCTTTTATTTGCCTTAATTGGCTTGTAGCCTATATCCCGGCAAATATCATTTAAGTAGTAATACCTTAATAATAAAATAGAAGATGCCTGAGACCACACTTATGTAGAGAAAGGGCTGCTTTCTTGAAAGGTTATAGTATCTTCCCTTACAGTCAAATCTCAGTGGGGTACCATTATTTTGTTTTAAGTTTATGAATTCTTGAAACCTAGTCTCTGTGTCTTGATTATAACAAGATCTCTAATAACAAAGTCCTTATGATATGCTTGTGAGGTTGGAGAAATGGGGATTAATTGATAATACAAGATGGGTTTTTATTGGAACAACCCAGCTTTAATTTATTCCCAGAGGAAGTCCTTGAAGAGCTCTCACTTAGGCTCACCTGCCTTGGTATTTTTACCAGCAATTTAGCTGAAAAACACAGAAGCCATGCTTATCAAATTTGTAAATGACAGAACTTTAATAGGTAAGTATCCTAATGGATAGGAGCATAAGTACTTTCAAAGATCATAGCAGCCAAGGGAAAAAGACTGAAATAGGATGAATTGGTGGCGATGACTGTAAAATTTCTGAACTTGAATTTAAAATCTGTTATTCACAGTATAGGATTCTGAATCAATTCATTTTAAAAAGATAATTATGTTCTTTAATTATTACTGATGGGATATGTTGCCAAAAAAGCCAATATACTGAAAGGCTACATTGGTTAAAAAAAAAAAAAAACCACCCAGATTCTGGATTAAGCGAGGGAATTACAATTGAGCCTTGAACAATTCAGGTTTGAACTGCGTGGGTCCATGTTCAAACCCATATTGTTCAAGGGTCAGCTAACATTTGGGAATCCTCATATGCGGAGGGCCAACTTAAGTTATAGTGGATTTTCGACTGCACAAGCAGTTGGAGCCCCTTACCCCCTCGTTCAGGGGTCAACTTCAGTAATCTCGCTGCTTAGACTATGTCTGGAATGTACTTTAAGAGAAAGTGAACTGCAACTCCAAGGGTAGAATGAACAAGATGGTCTGGAGCAATGGTTTGAGAAACTGGTAAGAGAAGGCTAAGAATGATCACTGGCCTCATGCAAAAGAGAAATAGATTTATTTGTAGGTCTAGAGTAGTCACTTTTATACTTTTTTTTACCACAATCCACAAAAAGAAATATATCTTTACAGTTCTCTATATACTACATACAGTTATTCATATATACATACAATTACAGTCATATATAAATATATATGTGTGTGTGTGTGTATACAGATATACACATATGTACAGCATATCTATATATAGGCATCTGAAGCACAAGTTCCACAAAACAGTACTCATGCTTATCATGTGTGATGTTCAGCTGTTTTTTGTTTATTGTTTTATGTTGATTGTAATATACTTCATTGTTTTCATGGTTCATATATGGATTGTGGCCTCATTTTGAAAAACATTTCTCTAGAAACCAGTATTACTCAAAGTGTGGTCCACAGACCAAACTGATAAGTCAGCATCTGCTTAGAAGTGCAAATTCTTGGGCCCCTACCCCATACCTAATGAATTAGAATCTCTGGGAAGGGAACCTAGGAGTCTGTGTATAACATGCTCTTCAAGTGCTTCTTTGTATGCTGAAGTTTGAGAAACAGTGCTCTAGAGCAGCAATACCCAAAAGTGTGATCTGTCCACAGCTGTTTCAAATAGTGATGTTTTCTCATTCACAGAGAGATAAAGGAGAGAGAATCATCCTTACAATAAGAATAGGAGTTTGCTAAATGAGAACAGGAAGATATAGAAAAGAACAACTAAAAAATCTTGGAAATGAGAAATACAAACCAGGGAATTAAAAAACAATGACAAACCAGTAAGTGTGATAAACTAGATACAAGTAGATGATAAGAGAATTGGTAAACTGGAAGGGAACTGAGAAGGTAACTCAAAATGGAGAACAGAAATAGGTAGAAAATGTGAAAGACAGGTGAAAAGTCATGGAGCATAGATAGAGTAAGGTGCTTCAATAGAAGCATTTATAGAATTTCCAGAGGGAAAATTGAGAGGAAAATGTTTAAAGAGGTAATAGAATATTTTTTAAAACACCTGTAAAGGTAATTACATAGGTAAATATAAAAACCAGTATTATTGTAGTTTTCCTTTGTAACTCCTTTTTTCCTATATGATTTGAAAGACAAATGCATAATTATAAATCTGTTAATGAGCACACTGTATGAAGATATAATTTGTGACGATAACATAAGGGGGCAGAGTTTTGATAGACTGTTAAAGCTAAGGTATTAATTCAAACTCAATTGCTAGAAATTTAACATGTCAAAAATTACTTGACTTAGGATTTTTTCCCCTCCTGCGATTATGTTGTTCATTTGAAATATGGTAAAGTTCATTTGTTTTTGTTTGTATTTCATTTTTAGGATTTTCCCCATCCTTGTTGATATTTTGTTTTGAATATGGAAACATTAACAAGGTTCCAAAAGTCACAATTGTACAAAAAAATATATACTCAGAAGTGTCCCCACTCATTTCTTCTATCTGTTTTTACTTCTTTCCCACCTGGCCCTGTAGAAAACTAATCTCATTAAACTCTGGTTTATCCTCTCTGATTTTTTTCTTGAACAGATGAGCATATACATGTATATTTTCTTATTAGACTTTCTTATACAAAAGTATCCATTATTTGATGAACCATAGTTTATTCAGCCATTCTCCTATGTGTGGGCATATAGATTGTTTCCAGTATTTTGCTGTTACAAACCGTGCTACCATGAATATCCTTATGCATATATATCTTTGTACTGTTGGAAGTATATCTTAAGGGTAAATTCTTAAAAGCAACATTGCTGTGTAAACACATTTAGTTTTGTTAGGTGTTGCCAAATTCCTTCCATTAGGGTTATGCCAATTTTATACTCTCAACAGCAATGTATAAGAGTGTCTGTTTTCTTACAGCTTTGCTAACAAACATATTGTTCTGCTTTCTTTTTATCATCACCAGTCTGAGAGTTGAAAAGTTTAAAATCCATTTTTGATCTTTTCCCCCTTAATTTTTAAGAGTTCTTTGTATATCAGGGACATTGCCCCTTTATATATAATACAGGTAAGCATTTTCTCCTAGTGTTGATCATCTTTTGACTTCATTTTTGGTGTTCTTTGCCATGCAAAAGGATTTTTTTCCCCTGTAGTCAATTTTATTAAGCTCTTCTTTACTTGGACCTGGATTTTGAATCACAGGCTTTCCTCACATTCCGTTTAAAGAAAAATTCATCTGAGTTTATTCTAGTCCTCATATGGTTTCATTTTGACATAGATCCCTGGTCCCTTTTTAGTGTACTCTTGTAAATTTTATTTTAAACTTCTGTTCTAAGCACTAGCAGGTTTCTACCAGTTTTCTGATATTTTTCCTATTATCTGTATTAAGCCAGTAACTGTTACTTTTATTTGAATTAATATAATTTTCTATTTTTCTAGGAAAATTTTGAATGACTTATCTTCTGATGCACCAGGAGTGCCAAGGATTGAAGAAGAGAAGTCTGAAGAGGAGACTTCAGCACCTGCCATCACCACTGTAACGGTGCCAACTCCGATTTACCAAACTAGCAGTGGACAGTATAGTGAGTAATAAATATTTCTGTTTTGGAAAGTGAGATAAAAAACTAATGTCTGCATTCTCCTTAAAGGACTCGTATAAGTGCCAACTCTTTTCTCAATCTCAGCTGCCATTATTACATTTCCTTTACTGTTCAATATGCAAATTCTGTAACAAGTATTTTCTTCAGGGTTTTTAGTTAGGATTCCTCAGGTTGTAAGCCCTTTAAATGGCCCTTTGTTTTATGCAGATGCTGGAGAGTCTTAGAAGTTTTTTGAATCACTACTTAAGGATTTTAGTCCTCATGTAATATACGATGTTAATTGAGATAAAGAAAATAATCATTCTTTGATTGTGTTTAAGGCCAAAATGGTGTCATTATTCATCTGTTGTAATGCTTCATCTTCCCTTCTAGCATTTTAACATCATATTTAATGTTTCGTGATTGGGGTGGAGAGGCTTGGTTGTAGTCTACTAGTACATTCAATTATTATTCCTTTTAATATAAAAGTATATAGTCAATTATGATACTGAAAACATAAGGACTGCTGAAATTAAATCTAACAGCAAGGAAAGATTTCCTTTGCAAAATTATCAGTTTCCATTTCTGTGATAGCTCTGACACTTAGGTATCGCTCATCTTTCACCTAAATCTGTTATAAAGTACTTTGAGTTCCGCTTTTGTTTGATCAGAGGCATTTGTGTGAACGGTGCTTTTTGTTCTTTTTCCAATAGCTTTTTGCTCCCAAAATGCCTCACATACTGATTTCTTCATTAAATCCAGTGCTACCCATTATATTCCGCCCCCCTCCTTAATTGCAAATTAAATCTACACATTGAAACTCTTACTCCATTAGTTTTCTAATGCTCTGGGGTGGCCTATGTCAGAAATATATAAGTTTGACTCCCAAGTTAATAGTTGTAGTTCTCCCAAAGTTGAAACTTGGTAAGAGAAGGTATTCTTAATGAAACTTCTTGTGCTCTGTAAGCTTAATAGAGTTCTGTCATCTTTTTCCTTCTTAAGTTCTTTGTTGGCAGAGATAAACAGGTACTATCTATATACTTGTACGTGTGTATTTTTTAGCCAAATAATTTGAGTTATTCAAGATGTATGTTCCAAGACATTGATACATGACCTCAATTTTTCCCCTCCCTTCAGCACGCCTGAGGGATATAGCGTGCGCCTGTAGTGACAGTGATTCACTTAGTGCAGCGATTCACACTTGAACTAGAAAGCATCTCCTTAGGAAAGAGGCATATCAGAATCACAAATAAAGGCGTGAAGTTCAGAAAAGTAGATGTTTAATTTGGCACACTGCTCTCCAGCAACTGAAAATCGCTAGTTTTAAAAGGTTAATACTTTGAGATTTTTAAAAGCTTATTCATTATCTTTATCCCTTATTCTCTCTGTATGTACACATATGGCCTTGATGGAACTGATTTAAAGTTATGTTCTTGTTTGTCATTAAGAATCAATGTAATGACTATTTAGATATACAACAACAGTTATATATCTCTTAACTTGTAAAACAAATATATGGTTGTGAAAATTCAAATGGTAGAGGTCCATAGTATTAATAAAAAGTAAAAATCTTTTTCATCGCTCCCCAGTAGTAAGAGTTTGGTATATATCCTTCCATTCTTTTTCATTCTGTTTTGCATACACATGTTATATATTTTTATGCAAGTGAGACCTACATTATTTGTATACTGTAGACAGATATATACACAGTTAAGTGTATTGTGTCTTTAACAGCTACATTGTGTTTCACTGTATAAGTATAACATTTATTTAAACATTTCCCCACACACACATACTGATGAACATTTAGGACATTTCTACTGTCTCAAACAATGCTACATGAACATTCTTAAATATCTATTAATGTCCCACTGGGGTTGCATCGGAAGAGTAGAGTTGTTCAATCAAAGCTTATTCTGCCCAATTGTCCTTCCCAGTGGCTGTACCAATTTGTGTTCCTTCCATAAATTGGTTATGGTTTTTTATTAATACTATTAGGTACTAGTTTTAGCCATGCTTGGTTCACTGTCTCTGATAATAAATTCTTGTTTCTAGGTAGAAAAACGTGTCTCATTTTGAGCTTGAATTTTTTTGTTGCATTAAATAAAACTGTAACCCATTGTTTTCCTCTTTGTTTTGGCTACTAGAATCTCAGCTAAGTTTATGTTTTTATTATAATTATATTCTTTCCTTCTAGATTTTCTGATAGAATTATTATATACACCTAGAGATGCTTGACTTCTACCTTTTTCTTCTTGTTTTAATGAATTTAGTCTTATTGAAAGCTACCTCAAATCCTTTTGGAATTAATCAGGTGTATAAATAAATATCTAGAAAAACCATATTTGATAGGATCAGACTTCAGACCTCTTTCATATGTATATGATCTCATTTGATTTTTATAACAATTGTATTTACTGGCTAGAACCAGATATTTTTATTTTTACAGAAGAGATAACAGATTCAAACAACAGTTTAGTGATGGAACTTGGACTAAAACCCAATTCTCCTCATACCTAGTTTTCTACTTCTTTCTTCCCACCTTGAGTTCATTGGTATTTAGCCAAGAACAAAGCTATGTGTGTTAAATACAGTGGAATTTGCTTATTAACTATATGAGAAATTATGGTTTGATTCTCTTAACCTTCCAATTCTTTCAAACTTGAAATATCCAGCAATATTAATCTCAGAATAGTTCTTACATGTTACTTTTGTTACCTTGTCTAAGATAAGTAAAATTTACGGGATTAACTAAAGTGGATGGATTGTATACTCGTATGCCAGTATCTTAATTTCCACACATATCATGGCTAAACCAAATCATAGCCATTAACTGTTATTATTTCTTTAATGAACAGGAGATAATAAACTTGCCATATAGAGATGACTTAGGATATTAGTTACTAAAGCTGAGTGACAACTGATCCCAAATTAATTCCCTTCAACAGACAAAAAGTAACATGCTTAAGTCAGACATGTTGACTTATTTAGTTAAAAATCCATTATGCAACTTTATATGTAATAATGTAGTTTTTATCCTTCTGTTTTTGGAAAACTTGAACTCTTAACAACAGAGAAAGTGTCTAGAGAAGGATCCAACTACCTGTCTCAATGCTGGTGTCTAAAGGATTGCTTCTTCCAAATACAATGATTTCTTTCTCTTTTTTTAACTGTTTCCATGTACTCTACCATAAAGGTGAATTCAGCTTTTTTTATAAAGTAAAATATCTGTTAGTATGAGCCAAAGTTGATTACTTTGTAACAGATGAATGACAAGTTTAGTTAATTAGTGGATAATCAACAAAAGATCCTATATGAGAATGCTTGGATATGTAACTTAGAAATAGCAGTAAAGTATTTTTTTTCTAAGTAATATTCTTGAACTCTGATTTTAAACTCCATGAGAGACTATGATAATTAAGTTCCTTAGGACATTTCCGTTGTTTCATTGAGTGGACTTTTGTTACAGTTTTTGCATTGCTAGCAAGTTAGAGAAAAGCATGTACTACTGAACTGCTTTATTAATTATGCATTAAAACAACCCTTTATTGGATGCCTATTACATGCCCATTTCAGTGCTAAGTACATTAAAATAGAGAAGAAAAACCACATTTCCTACTTCCAGAAATTTATTTACTAGTGGAACAGCAAATATTAAACAATATAAATATTAGATAGTTAACGCTAAAATAAAATATGGATCACAAAGTGGTACCTCCTCTGAACTAAAGATCTTCAAAAGAAATTTAATATTTTCTTATTTATGTACTTTTAAAAAATTAACAGACATTATTATAAATTGTAATGTGGTTCAGAGAGTGTATTTGTATTACAGAAATTGGATATGGGTTTCCTGAGCAGAAAGTTACTTGAGTGTACCAAGTCCTTGGCAGTGTTATTTGCTGTAATTCCTCCTAGCTTATGTCTTGCAGATTATTCTACTTTGAATTTAGCGTTTTGTCAAAGTCTTAAATGGTATTAATTAAACTTGTAACAATAAAATTCATTGGGTTTTAGTTGCCATTACCCAGGGAGGAGCAATACAACTGGCTAACAATGGTACCGATGGGGTGCAGGGCCTGCAAACGTTAACCATGACCAATGCGGCCGCCACTCAGCCGGGTACGACCATTCTACAGTATGCACAGACCACTGACGGACAGCAGATCTTAGTGCCCAGCAACCAAGTTGTCGTTCAAGGTAAGACAAGTCAGACTTCATAGGAGAGTGTGGCAAATCCTTTGAAGTGCTAAAAACTTTATAAACTCAGAAAAAGTAAGTATGATACTATTAAAATGTAGTTAACTTTTTTCATTATAGATATTTTCCATGAATTCTTCCATTATTCAAATTGGACCAAAATGTCATGGCATAAAAACAACTATTTTCAGTTTTAAAAATATAACATCTTTCTTTAACACGTCTAGCATTTGGCGATAGAAGAAACAAGATAGGTTAGAGGGAGAGAGAAATCGGGATTTAGGAAAACTAGATTCCAGGGCGGTATCGTGGCCCAGCGGTCTAAGGCGCTGGATTAAGGAAAGCTAGATTCTAGATCTGACTGTATAGATTTGCTATATCTTGCCTTGAGTAAGACCCAACCTCTGTGGGCCTCATTTTTTCTCATGTGTCAAATGACAATTGTACTAAATCACTGATAAGAATATCTGGAGGTTCAAAATTCTGTTTCTCTGCTTTTTATTCAAAAGGAATTTATATCCTCATTTCTAAGATCATTTTTTTATTTCAAATGAAAGCATTATATTCTGAAAAATCTTATACCAGTATGCAACTCTGCTGGTCTGTGGAGAAAAGTAGTAGTTAAATCCTTGATTAATTATAAAAAATAGCTTTTTTCTGTTTGATTTTTTAATTTAATTGAAAGGGCTTTTTGTTGTTTTCTTCCTGTTTGTTTCAGAGGTCTTTATGGATAGGAGTTAACCATTTTTCTTTGAATCCATTTGAATATTTTAATAATACGGTTTATGCCAGATTGAAAATTTGCATTTGAGGAAATAATAAAGGTTTCTAAAAATATTTTCATTAATATGTTTTGCCTCTGTTAGGTAATGACAGTTGTGCCCCTTCATCATGGCTAATCCTTGAATAATCCTAAAACATCAACTAGAGAGAGTCATCATTTATTTAAAGGGCCCTAATGTATTTACAGAACATATTCTGTTACTAAACAAATAATATTTGAAGAAGATAATATTTTGCTTATTAATGGGAGTAAAAAACACCTTTTCACTTTACATGCAGGTACTCAAAAATTGTAAAGCAGGATGTCAGTGAATTTGAATTCTGAACGTCAGTTTGAAGATGGTAACATGTTTAGTATATAAATCTTTTCCACTCAAACTACACATGTTAATTAATGTTAACAAATACAGATAATTTTATAAAAACCTTCAAATTCTTTCAGATAGTGTTAGGTTCCATATTCTTAGGAGGGCATATTATTAAGCTGCTTTTAGAAGCAGTTTGACAAGTAGTGACTGTTTCTTTTCACAAGTGATGATGGATCATTTAGTTAGAAGAACAAAACTTTATTTAGCTGTTATTATTTACATTAAATCAATGTTTACAATATAATTGGCATCACGTGGTACACTTTCTCATACTTTTTCATTTTGTTTCAATTAGAAATTTATAATAGTTGACCATAATGCTTTATTTTCTCTTCCATTTTGCTATTTTATGAAAAATCATGGTCGTTTTTATGTCGTGGCAAGAGTCTACTTGAAATTTTTTAATATGAATTTACCAATATCAAAGGAAGACATTGAGGACTATACTCTATCTAGGAAGATCATCCAAGCTGTGCCCTACTTACCTTTTAGACTTAAGGTTGGTAAGCATGTTAACAGAATAGAACTGCATTCCAATGAAAGATAAATAAACAGCCCAGCAGACATAGGTTAAGACCTCTTTTGTCCAAGTGTCTATACTAATAAATACATTAAATTGAGAATTATTTCTCAGTAAGACCCAAAGAGTAATGGTTCTTTCAACATTTTAGTCAGAATCATCTGTTCCTTTTATTCCCCTTTTAATCCAAAATGTATGTTTAGATTGATGATTGACACATGTAGTTTTACCAAGTCACAGTGCTTCAGTGTCTTACACCATGCTCACCATTTTCTTTTCAGCTGCCTCTGGAGATGTACAAACGTACCAGATTCGCACAGCACCCACTAGCACCATTGCCCCTGGAGTCGTTATGGCATCCTCCCCAGCACTTCCTACACAGCCTGCCGAAGAAGCAGCACGAAAGAGAGAGGTTCGCCTAATGAAGAACAGGTACATATACTGCATTTACTTAGATTATTATAAGTCAGGTGTGTCTTCAGAATGTGACAGATGTGTGTCTTTGTGTCATTTACATCTGCTGGCAGTAGGATCTTTGTGTTGAGTTTTTTCTGGTAGAATTAATGGCTCTTGCTAAAAACTTCTTTATTTAATAAGCTGCACTTATGAGTTGGTTAATGAGATTATGGATCAATCTTTGATCATAGAGTAGTTCTCTTTCATGCAATTTCTCCATGAGACTTTTAGTGCACAATTTGGTATGTTTTCACTAGGCTTTAACCAACTAGCTAGGCTATTTAAAAATTGTTTCTTTCCATGAGTAGTATATTTCAAGAACATGAAGAATTTCATTATGTATATTAAAATTAAATGTTAAGTTTTATTTATGTTAGGTTTATTTGTAGTTCAGTAAATAAATATATTATGGCCATCCATATCTTAATGAATATTACTTTTACTTAAAATAATAACAGTTTAACACCTAAAGATTCTTTGGAAATAGATTGTCTAAAAACATCTTGTTATTGACAAAAATCTTAAAATAGTCTTCAACAATAAAAATGCTACATATCAAAAATCTGTGAAATGTGGGCAAAAGCAATTCTCAAAGTAAATTCATAGCTATAAATGGTCTTATCAACAAACAAAACAATATCTTTATTTACTTATATTTACCTTAGTATTTTTATTAGCTTAGGATTTAAATATTTAGCTTAGGATTTTAATATGGAAATGACTTCAGACAAAGTGAAGAAAATGAAAATAAGGTATATAAAGATATAAAAAATTATAAATTGCTGAAAATATTCTTCTGCCATTCACCCCAAGATTCTTCAAACACTATGAATAAAGTGAAAGAATATGAATAAAGTGAAAGAAACAGAGAGGGCCAGCCGAGTGGCTCAGTTGGTTAAGAACTCACTCAAGAGTGTGAGCTCTGAGCAACAGGGGCCGGTCTGATTCACGGCCCAAGCTGAGCTGCCAACAGGTGGCAGGATGGCTCAGTTTAAAAAATAAACAAACAAACAAACAAACAAACAAATAAATAAATAAATAAAATTAGAAGCAAATCTGATCTTAAGAAATCTCAAGTAAAGGCTAGGTTGTAAAATTTAAAACTGCACTTACTGTAGACATTAGTTCTAAGCAGATATAGCGGAGCAAATCAGATAGAAAAGAAATCGTCTTGATTATAAAAACAACAGAAAGACTTCAGATTATGTCTCTGTAGCTTGCTTTGTGGAATGGAAACGTTTCACCTTATACAGAAAAGACTAAGAGGCGGTATAATTATAATGAGCGAGGATGTAGCACTGTAGCTTCTTGTCTACTCTTTTGTATAAAGGCTAGCCCAGAGAACTGCCCATTTATGAAAACTCATTAATTTAACTGGCAGACCAAATGTTCTTTATTCTCTATTCATTTGATTTATGATACACCACTCCCCTCCACCCCACCCCCCCAAGTAGGGACAGGGCACATGTAGCTATAGTTTCTAACAACCTTTGCTTGCCTGAGATCTTCAGAGGAGCTACCTGACGTACTGTGGAATCTTTAATAAAATACTTCCGCTTCCCACTGACTCTGCTGTAGCTCCCTTTTCCCTTTCGTCCCAGATTGCTGCTGCTACTTTTTCAACTTCCATGCACTAGAATCCAACTTTTTTTGGACTACTATATCACTCCTATCTGTAAACAGATACAGATTCCCTACCAATTTAAAATTCTCTTTTCATTTTACCTTATGGAGTATTTGACATTTTTAACTGCTCATTCCCCTAAACTTAGGTTTACTCACCTAGTTTTCTGCCCACCTTTCAAATTTTCCCTTGGAACTTTCATCCATACCCATGTATTTCAAGAATCACCTATCTATGCTGATGCTTCCTAATTCTGTATAATTTGACTTTGACCTTTTTCTTGAGATACTATTTATTAAGGGCCCAGTATGTGCTGTATACCTAGATTTTTAAAAATATTTTTATTCTATCTACAATGAGGGAGAAACTTATCTTCACTTTATAGAGGAGATATGGTTCAGAGAGAAATTATGTATCTTGCCAAAGGTCTCACTTTTTAAGAAATTGGTGGAGCTGAGCCCTAGTTCCTTTTAGGGGAAAATGGTATTTAGAAATCAAGAACTGAGCACTAGGTATGCTCTTAACTACTGGGGTTTCACACTGGTAGGTCCTCTCGAAGGACACAGCTAAGAAATAGATATGTATACTAACTCATATATGTACACATCTGTATTTCTGTATCTGTATATTACTACAATAAATGAGTCTATACAATGTCTCTGACTCTGATCTGTAACCAGAGTTCATTTTAGCCTTCCCTCCTGTGCTTATTTGTAACATCTTTCTTGACAAACTTGGCTTCCTATAAAGTACAGTTTGTTTACATATTTGTTTAGTATACGTATAAAATAGTTTCAGAATTTCTAACTTGTACCTTGTGAGAAACAAATTAACCAGTTATATAATACAGTATTTATGTACAGTTCATTTTGTTTATAGTCTAAAGTACCAGTGAAAGCACTGTTTTCCAAGTTCCTTAATTTGTTCCTTTTTTCCTCTATCCTCTTCAGTGAGGTTGTGTCATACATTTGCAGTACAGTTAGAATTGTCAGCATCTTCATTCAATTTTAGGATTGCATATAGTTAACTTTACTCTTTGATGCCATGTATCTACCATCACAGTGTCATACAGAATTGTTACACCACCCTAAAAAGAATCCCTTGTGATAGATACCCCTTGGTCAACTTCAACCCGCTTCCATAGCCCCTGGAAACCACTAAACTGTTTCCCATTCTTATATTTTTGCCTTTTCAATCTTATATAAATGGAATCATACAGTATAATAGCCTTTTGGATCTGGCTTCTTTCACTTAGCAAAACGCATTTAAGATTCATTGGTAGTGTTGTATGAATCGGTAGTTGATTTTATCACTGGTGTTTCATTGTATGGATGTACTGTGGTGTTGATCCATTCACCTTGAAGCTCATCTTAGTTGTTTCCATTTTTGGAGGAGTATGAGTAAAGTTACTATAAACACTTACATGCAGGTTTCTGTATGAACTTTCAGTTCACTTGAGTAAATATCTAGGAGTGGGCTTGCTGTGTAGAATAGTAAGCGTGTGTGTGTATATATATATATATATATATTTTTTTTTTTTTAATTTTTTTTTTTTTTTTTGTAGAGGGCAGTGTCACTGGCCCTCATATGTGGGATCCGAACCAGGGCCCTTTGGCATCCCAAGCCAGCTCTTAACCAACGCGCCACTCGGCCGGCCCAAGCGTATATTTTTTTACAAGAAACTGCCAAACTGTTTTCCAAAGTGGTTGTAGTACCATTTTACATTCCTACCAGCAATGTATAAAAGTTGAGTTGCTCTATATCAAGTGTTAAATTGTTTTACATTGAGGTCTATGATTCCTTTTAGTTAACTTTTGTATAGGATGTAAGGTGTGTCAAGGTTCATTTTTTGTATACAGACATTCATTTGTACAGTACCATCTGTCCTTTTTCTGTTACCATTGTACTTTTGTCAAAAATTAATTGACCATATTTGTGTGGCTCTGTTTCTGGACTGTCTAGCTCATTTCATTGATCTGTGTGTCCTTTTGCCAATATCATGCTGTCTTGATTACTATTAGTAAGTTTTGCATTTGATAATGTGAGTCCCTCCCTTTGTTATTTTACAGAATTGTTTTAGCTATTCTGGTTCCTTTGCATTTTCATATAAATTTTAGAATCTGTTTGTTGATGTCCATGAGAAAGTTTGCTGAGAGTTTGATTAGGATTTTGTTGACTTAGAGCAAATTGAGAAGAAAAACATCTTAATAATACTGATTCTCTCATTCTGTGAACACAGTATACTCTCCAAGATACTGCCATATTTTGATTTATACCTAAATACTTAATGGGTTTTTGGTTTGGGCTTTCTTGGGAGGGTGGGGAACTATTTTAAATGGTATATATATTTTTTAAATGTAAATATTCAGTTCATTGCTGGAATATAGAAATAAAACTGACTAATGTATTAATCTTTTATCCTGTAACTATTCTAAATTTACATATTCTAGGAATTTTGTTGTAGATTCTTTGGGATTTTCTAGATAGACAGTCATGTTGTCTGAAACTGTGGACACTTTTATTTCTTCCTTTCTAATCCTTGTGCCTTTTCTTTTTCTTGCCTCATTGCAGAGTTTAGGACTTCTGATAGGATATTGAATAGGAGTGGTAAGAGAGGACTTCCTTGCCCTGTTCCCTATCTTAGGAAGTACATTAGTTTTCTGCTTCTCACAAATTACCTCAAACTTAGTGGTTTAGACAACACAAATTCCTAGTTTTCTGGAAGTTTTTATAAGCATTTGACAAAATTTAACAACTTTTTCTGAATCTCTTGAAGTAATCATGTGGCGTTTCTTACTTAGTCTATTAATAGGGTGAAGTACATCGGTTTTTCCAGTGTTGAGACATGCATGCATTCCAATCATGGTTATGATGTATTGTCATTTTTACATATATTTGCTAATATTTTGTTGTAGATTTTCACATCTACATTCATGACTGATAGAGAATTTTAGTTTTCTTGTAATGTTTCTCTTGGTTCGTTGTCAGGGTAATGCTAGCCTCATAAAATGAGTTGAGAAGTGTTCTCCTATATTTTATGGAAGAGTCTGTATAGAATTAGTATTGTTTATTCCTTAAATATTTGGTAGAATTTGCCAGTGAAACCATCCTGGCGTTGAGTTTTCTTACTTTTGAAAGGCTTTTTTTAAACCATGAATTGAATTTCTTTAATAGATAAAGGGCAGTTCGGACTGTCTGTTTCTTCATTGAGTTTTGGAAGTTTATGTTTTTAAGGATTTGGCCCATTTCTTCTACGTATCAAATTAATGGACACAGAGTTGTTAGTAGTAGTATTTATTTACTATCCTTTTAATAATGTTTGAGATTAGTAAGGATTTCATTCCTGATATTGATCATTTGTAGCTTCTTTCCCTTTCTCTCGATCTCTCTCTCTCGCTCAGTTTTTTTGGTTAGTCTGGCTAGAAGTTTTGTAAAAAACAGGCTATATGGATTTGAGCCATGGTCCATAGTGTGCCATCCCCTGGTGTAGCCCCGGTAGAAGACATGAAGGAAAAGGATGCAGAAGGATACACCATACAAATAGGAATCTAAAGGAAGGTAGAACATTGTCAAGGATAAAGAAGGACATTACATAATGATAAAAGAGTCAGTCCTCTAAGAAGACATAATAATTGTACACGTGTATGCTCCTAACAGAGCTTCAACATATACAAGGCAAAAGCCGATGGAACTAAAAGGAGAAATGAACAAATTCATAATTATAGTTGGCGACTTCAACACTCTTCTCTCAGTAATGACAGAAAATAATTAAGGATGTAGAAGACCTGACTGACATTATCAATCAACTATACCTATTTGACATTTATATTACACTTATGACTCTAAAAGAATAGAAATAATATAAAGTATGTTCTTGAACCATAAAACATCTTGGAAAATCTGCAATCTTTTGGAAATTAAATATGAAACGTTTCGATATCTATAGGTCTAAAAGGAATTCTCAAAAGAAATTTTAAAAATTATTTGAACTGAATGCAAATTATAATATGACAAAGATTTGTGGGATGTAGCTCTGTCAGTGCTTAGAGGGAAACTTAAACCCTTAAATACTTACGTTAGAAAGAACGTCTTAAATCACTCGTCTCTGTTGGGTTGGCAAACTGCACCTCACTGCCTGTTTTTATAAATAAAGTTTTGTTAGAACACAACCATGCTTATTTAATTATGCATTATCAGTGGCTGCTTTCATGCTGCAACAACAGAGTTTAGTTATGACAGCCTATGCGGTCTGAAAAACCTAAAATATTTATACTCTGACCCTTTTTAAAAATGTTTGCCAACCTCACTTACATCTTAAACTAGAAAAAGAGGAGCAAATTAAAATCAATGAAATTGAAAAGATAAAACCAATAGAGAACAATCAATGCAACTAAAAATTGGTTGTTAAAAAAATTAATACAACTGATAAACTTTGAATGCAAAAGAGGAAAAAAACAGGAAGTATGGAAGAATTAAAGATGCTAGAAAGGGAAAGAATGAAACAATAGGAGTAACACATAAAGGCAAAGAATTAGTTCAGTAAGTGTAGGTAGAGGATATTGAAATACATGATGTGAAAGAACTTTTTTCTAAAAGTAATGTCTATCAAATTAATTTCAGAATTTATATGCCATCTGTTTGCATGAGTGCTTGGAATCATAAAGTCCTGTTCCTGTACTGGAAGAGACATCAGAAGTCACTAATATTCACACCATGTCTTCAGGCCAAAGCACTGGGAGAGTCCTTTCTTCTGCTCTTAAAAATATTTAGATAGAAATTTTTGAGACGTTTAAGAGGCATTCTCCAAACTAAGGAGTTCTTTAAAATTTCTGTTTAAAGTTCTTTTGAATTTTGTATTCTACTCCAAAATATAGTAATGCTTATTTTAATATGAAAATGCTTGTCAACCCTCTACCCCATCAATTAAAATTGGTGCTTTAGAATGACATGCCATGATTATTCCCCGATTTTACGTACTCATTAATACAAACCTAATGGTCTTGGTTTGGGATATATTGATCAGTCCCTTTAAAACAAAACAAAACAAACAAAAAACAGATGAGAAAATAGTCCTTAAATGGAAAGGGACCTGCTGGAAGCTACACAACTAACTAAAAAATATCATGTCGTCAAATTTAGTTTGGGACATGCTACATAGATGTCCTCTTTGGAGATTAGTATTTTGAAAAGATCAAAGAGATCTTGTATTAAAGAAATAAGTTAATTTTCTTAGCCCAGTGTTTCATTTTTTCTTTTGAGAAACATTTTAATCTTTCACCACACTAGTATACAGTCGGCCCCCTGTATCAGTGGGTCCACATCCATGGGTTCCACGTCTGCGGGTTCAACCAACCATGGATCAAAAATACTCAGAAAAAATGTTATGTTGTTGCCCACATGCAGCACTATGTCGTTAGGCCTCTGATGGTTGCATCTGTACTGAACATGCTCAGACTTTTTCTTGTCATTATTCCCTAAACAATACAGTATAACAACTATTTATATAACATTTACATTGTATTAGGTATTATAAGTAATTTAGAGATGATTTAAAGTATATGAGAATTTGTTTAGGTTATATGCAAATACAGTGTCATTTTATGTAAGGGACTTGAATGTCCACAGATTTTTATATCCACGGGGATCCTGGATCCAATCCCCCTTGGATACTGAATGACAACTGTAATGATTTTGGTGGAACACAGTTGGGAGGTACTAACCTATTAAACTAGCATGTAGACACAGCATTCATATAGGCACTTGTAGACTAAATTCTAAGGTGATAGAGAGGAGAAAGGAACGGGGGACAAGATATGTTGCCCTTGGCTGAAATTAGATTTGTAAGTGTATCTACATCCTCCCTATTGTTAGACTAATTGACCACATACAGAACATCCAAACTGACTTCCAGATCATTCCCACTGTCATCATCCTTTAGATCACGCTTGGCCTCATAGCACCTCCTGCCTGTTTTCTTCAATGTTCAGTAAAATGCTGGGCCATTTTTAACCCATTTCCAAAAAATTTTCTCAGTGATGCAGTCTATTATACATTGTCCATATCTATCATGGACAATCCAACTTTTTTTTCCCCCAAAATCAGCTTGCACTATATGAAAATGCCCCTTTTTTCTAAACTGATAGGCTACATGGGGGTGAAGATATTAATGGAATTATAATAGAATACCATTTCAGTTATCTAGAAATAGTAATACCTAACACATACCTAGCATTTACTAAAAGCCCGCCAGTATTTCATGTGCTTTTCATATATCAGCTCCCTTAATCTTCATAAAACTTTTAAGGTAGATGATATTATCTCTGGTTTTAGTCAGGAAACTAAGGTTAAGTGATTTGCCTGTGGTTACATAATTGATAAGGGATAGAGCCACTTAAACATAACAATCTGACACTGAAGATACTGCTGTTAACTTCTGAAGACTTAGAACCTTTTTACTTTCAACTCTTATGTTCATTCAGGTACTTGCTTTGTGCCAGCTAATGACTGAGGACATTAAAGAAGAAGATGTGGCCTTTATCCACGTAGAGAAGTTTGTTTAGACTTTGTAGCTTGCTAAAAAATATTTTTTATTACTTTTCATCTGTTAGATATTTTTTATTGTGGTAAAAAACGTAAAATTTACCATCTTAACCATTTTTAAGTATACAGTTCAGTATGTTAAGTACATTCACATTGTTGTGTGGCAGATCTCCAGAACTTTTTCATCTTGCAAAAATTAAACTCTATAATACTATAAAAACTGCCCTCATTTCCCTCTCCCTCTAGTCCTTGGCAGTCACCATTATCCTTTTTGTTTTTATGAGTTGGACTATTTTAGCCACTTCATATAAGTGGAAGCATACAGTATTTGTCTTTTTGTGGCAGCTTATTTCGCTTAGCATAATGTCCTCAAGGTCCGTCCATGTTGCGCCGTGTGACAGGATTTCCTTCCTTTTTAGGGCTGAATAATATTCTGTTGTATGCATATGCCACATTTTTTAAATTTACTCATCTGTCGATGGATATTTGGGTCACTTTCCACTTACTTCTTGGCTATTGTGACCAATGCTGTTATGAACATAGGCGTGCAAATCTCTCTCCGATATCCTGGTCTAGATTTTTTCTGACATATTCCCAAAAGTGGGATTGCTGGGTCATATTGGTAATTCCATTTCTAATTTTTTGAGGAATTGCCATACAGTTTTCTATAGTGGCTGCCCCATTTTACAGTCAGTGCACAAGGGTTCAAAATTTTCTTTGCATCAACACTTGTTATTTTTAATTTGAGATTTTGTTATAATTGCCATGCTGATGGCTATGAGGTGAATTTCTCATTATGGTTTTGAGTTGCATTTCTCTAGTGATTAGATTGATGTTGAGCATCTTTTTATATGCATGGTGCCCATTTGTATATCTTTGGAGAAATGTTTACTCAAGTCTTTTGACCATTTTTTTAACCAGGTTATTTTATTGAGTTGTAAGAGTTCTTTGTATATTCTGGATTACCTCCTTATTAGATATATGATTTGCAAGTATTTTCTCACATTCCTTAAGGTTGCTCTTTCACTCTGTTGATTATGCCCTTGACATGCAGACATTTTTAAGTTTGATGTAGCCCCATTTACTTACTTTTTTGCTTTCGTTGCCTGAGCTTTTGGTGGCATAGCCAAGAAATCACTGCCAAATCCAATGTCTTGAAACTTTTCTCATTTTCTTCTAGAAGTTTTATAGCTTTAGATCTTACATTTAAGTCTTTATTCCATTTTGAGTTAACTTTTGTATACTGTATAAGGTAAGGGTCCAGTTTTATTCTTTTGCATTGGATATACCGTTTTCTCAACATCATTTCTTGAAGAGACTTGGGTTAGATTTTTTTAAAAGCCTTGAAATAATGAGTTTGTGAGATCCTTCTATTTAAAGGATGTTCTTCACACTACATTTTACCTTAATATTTTCTTAGTTATTGATATTGATAGAACTTCAAGTTTTACATGTGTGACGCAAAACACTAATAAACAGTGATGTAATTTTTAAGTGATTGTTCAGCCCTTTTGGTTGTTTGTGGGGTCTTCATATTTGAGACCTCTTTTTAAAATCAAACTTCTGTGGCATATTAGAATTTTACATAAGGCAATTTCCAAGTCATTCTATATTTTTTCAAATGCCAAATCTATAATATATTAAAATGTTTGTTAATTTGAACTAAATCTCTAAGAAATAAACATATTCCATTACAAAATAAATGATATAGAAATGTTACATAATTTTTCCTGCGCTTTTTTGCTTTATAGGGAAGCAGCACGAGAGTGTCGTAGAAAGAAGAAAGAATATGTGAAATGTTTAGAAAACAGAGTGGCAGTGCTTGAAAACCAAAACAAGACACTGATTGAGGAGCTAAAAGCACTTAAGGACCTTTACTGCCACAAATCAGATTAATTTGGGATTTAAATTTCACCTGTTATGATGGGAAAAGGACTGGCTTGGGCCACAACCAGAAAGACGAAATAAACATATTATTTTCTAAACATTTCTTTTTTTCTATGCGCAAAACTGCCTGAAAGCAACTACAGAATTTCACTCATTTGTGCTTTTGCATTAAACTGTGAATGTTCCAACACCTGCCTCCACTTCTCCCTCAAGAAACTTTCAGCGCCAGGAATCATGAAGAGACTTCTGCATTTCATCCCCACCCTCTTCAAGAAGTAATCATTTGTTTACTTGTAAATTGATGGGGGAAATGAGGAAAAGAAAATCTTTTTTTAAATGATTTCAAGGTTTGTGCTGAGCGCCTTGATTGCCTTAGGGACAGAATTACCCCAGCCTCTTGAGCTGAAGTAATGTGTGAGCCGCATGCATAAAGTAAGTAAGGTGCAATGAAGACGTGTGATTGCCAAATTGACATGTTTTCACATTTTCATTGTGGATTATGTAAAATTGTTTAAAGACAACCCCTAAAAAGGAATTTTTATGGTGTTGAAGAAATTGAGAATGAATTTGGAGTCCTTTCTATGTACATTGTCTTCAATACTGAAAACTTGTCCTTGGTTCTTAAAAATACTGTATTAACTACAGCTCTTCCGTAGGCAGTTGTTGCTTCTTAATTCAGTTCTGTGTGTGTTCAACATTTTTGAATACATTAAAAGAAGTAACCAACTGAATGAAAAAAGCATGGTATTTTAATTTTAAATTAAATTGAAGTAAATGCAAGTACAAAGCTTGTTTTAGTTAGTACTAAATTCTTAGTAAAAAGACGCTCTTTACCAAACCAACTCTTTGAGTTATATAACAAGGTTTTTAAATAAATGTTTTTGTCATCGCCTTCAAAAAGATTTATATTGTCACTCATTTACTTAAGAATATATTTCTAATTAAACTGTTTCCATTTGCACTTACATTATACCACCAACAGGAAAGCCTTCAAGACGTTAAGTAAAGCAAAATGATATATTTGTTTATAAAATGTTGTGTTGTAGAAAAATACTTATTTTAAATCTCTTCCATATTAACATACTTTAACAGAGTATCTCTAGTGAATTTTTTAATGAAAGAAATTGTAAGGATATAGTTCTAATAAGTGCAGTATTAGATGTGACAAGGAAAGTAATTTTCTTCAGATATATTTGAATGACTGCTGTACTACAGTATTTGGATTATCATTCCTGCAAAACATTGGTTTTGTTTTCTTCTAAAAAGGAGTTAATGCTTTAGCTTTCCAATATGCTGTGTAGCCTTTGTCATTCTATAAAGGAGCTGCCTTTTTTAACTCCTGAGTATAACAGTCTGTGTTTGTATGTATCATACATTGTTTCCAGTACTACTTTTAATTATTATTATTCATTTTATTCACTAAACCTGATAAATCTAAAAGTTACCCTTTAAAAGAAAAATAAGACTTATGGTGGATTTAAAAAATTGGAGACTGACGTAATGTTAGATATAATTTCTCATTTGAGAAGGTTATTTCTTTTAGAAGAGTCTAGAAAATTAATGTTTTATATTTAGTCATGGTTATTTTTTAAAGTTTACTTTGTTAATGTGTTAAAATTTGCAGATGGGTCTGAATTGTTTGGTCCATTTTGAAAAGTAAGATTTTTAATTAATATTTGTAAATGGTTTATTTTTGTTTGTAACAAACCATTGTCTTTTTTCAAGGATGAACAGAGTTTATGAAGGAGCATCATTCTAAGAATTGAGTGATGTAGTATATTTGGACAATTCACCAGATTCTCAAGAAGGCTTTCAAACGACTGTAAAGTTTGATGTTTGTCCTGCTGAGCTAATGGGGAAAGTCATAGCATAAAAGCTAATTTGTATACCAGCACAGATATGTCATTTTCCAAAACTGGTATAATAGAAACCAAGCAAAATCACAAATCTGTTCACCGACTAGAATTCTTTATTAATGAGTCAAAATGTCAAAGTGAACATTCTGAATGTCATAAGCTTTATAAATGAAAATTGCCTAGTATTTAGCAAGTCGTATTCTCTACTCTAAAAGTTAAATGTTTTTCAAAAGTTGGGGCTTTCTATTGAATTAGAAAGTTGGTGGTCCTCTTAGTCCCTGATAAATCGAGGCAATCATTTCCATATTAGCTGGTTGGATTTATATGTTATAAAGACCTGGTTCTTTGTACCTTGAGGATGATTGCACTGGTTTGAAGTCAGTTACTTAATGGTGAGGTCAGAAATGTATTCTGTTGCTAGATCTATTTAGACCCTTGTAGAGACTTGAATATTTCGGTTTATACAGATAGAAATCAAGCATCTTTTGTGTAGACTTTTTTAAAAAAAAAACAACCAAGAATTGGGAGGAAGGTGTTTGTTTTTAAGCATGCAACTTTGAGAATTTTTAAGAAAATGACATAATAATAAAAAAAAAGTCTTGTAGCCAAGAACATGTGGCCACATTACCAGTGATAAATGGTTTTTTCTCTTCATATTGGCCAAAAGGGAATGAAAATGTCATCATAGGAATCTGTACATATGCTACTGATTTGCCTAGAAAATAGTTTGGTATCACTTTGCAAATATAGGGCCATGTGGCACTTTTATCTATAGGACAGATTAACTCTAATAAAAATGAGTGGGGGTTTATTTTTGATATATCACTGTTAGGAGTTTTCAAGCTTTGATAGTGTTTAACTGAAAAGTGGTTTAGAAAGGGCTAGATCCAATGTGTTCGCATTATTAAAAAACCGATATCAGATGTAATTTTAAGTTCCTTTTTCAAACTCAAGTACCATATTGGCAACCATAATACTGTCATAGGTGCTCTGTTCATTTAGATACTCTTGGGGGAAAATGGCATTTGTATAATATATGTGTACATATATATATATATATATATACATACAGTATATAATCTGAAGCTCTGAGAGCTCTTAAGTCAGGAATGCTGAGTATTATAGTATATTGAGGTCAGATGAAAATTTACATTTTTGCGTGTTCTATTGCATCCCTTTTGGTAGTTTCTTGGACTGCATTACTCCAGCACTCATGACTGATTTCTGTCTTCTGATTTTCTTCCAAGTATTTTTCTTTTATTGTTAGTTTTCTTTGGCTTGATATGTTACTAGTCACTTGAAAACACCCCTCCCCACAAAGTATTTGGTTTGTATGCTTTGTCTCTGGCAGCTATAACAGTGGTAAGAACGTTTTCAAGATAGCTTCTAAAAAGCACCACTGATTTTTCAAAACTCATCCTAGGGGAGGAATTCGGTGTTTTCATTTGAGCAGGGATTTTGTCAGAAAATGCTTTGGTGGCAGGTCCGCAGCAGTGCTAGTATCTGAAAGCACAATACCAGCCAGGCAGGCTGTCCCAGCAGACGTCATCTGGCTGAAGTTCATCTCTGTCTCTCAGGCCTAATCCCTACTATCATTTTGACCATTCGGGGTGGCATGTGGAATCATACAAAGGCTTAGGAAGAAACAGCAAGTTTGTTTAAACCAGATGCCCTTTCTTACTTGAAGTGACTTCAATCTAGATTTCTTCTGTTCATTTTTAATGTTTTAAATTCTGGGATCAGCGACAGTCAGCATAAGTTGGTCTCTTTATTTTGAAGAACAAAAAGACTGCTTCATTTTGCAGGATTCAATAAAGCTTATATCTTAAAGTTAAGATTTTGAATTAAAGTGGATTTTATTGGGTTGTCGGAAAAGTCATGACGCATTTTTGCAACGAAAAACAGAAAAAAATGCGTCATGACTTTTCCGACAACCCAATAGAAACAGTGGTTATTATACACCTTTGCAGTTATTTTCAAGAGGCTTTATTTAGTTGCCTTTGTAGCCCTGAAAACTGTTGGTATATTGTTTCCCATTGACTTTAATACAAAAGTTGTATATTTATTTGGATTATATTTACATTATATTCTTTGTAAATGTTTGGTGTAACTTGCACTTTTAAAAATGACCCAGTTTGGGTATTAGCAACTTGAGAAATTCCCTCATCAGTTGTCAACTGACTTTTTATGTCTTTCTCCTTTCTTCAAATCATGGGACTTTTTTAATGAAAACTTTTCATTGATTAAAATATTTTAGCACCTAAAGGCTAGCTTATAGTGTAAAAGAAAAAATACCAAGAAATTAAGATTTGACTAGCCTGATTAATAAGAAGATGGGTCCAAACCCTTATTCTTTTTAATCATGGATAAAAGAAAGAAAGAAAAAAGCAACTCAAGCGAATATTTATTTCTAATTTTAAATCATACTCTGTCCTAACTTCAACATTAATATTGTCTCAGGATGCCAAGGTATCTATGAATTAATTGTTGGCATCATGGAGACCACATGTAATCATTTGACTAAATTTATTTCACTTTAAATTGGCTTTCTTAACATCAAAGAAATGCTGCCTAAATCTGACTAATTTCAAATGAGGAGGGAGAAAGCGAGCCGGCAGGTGAAGAGTTGTGGGATACGTTTGCTCACTCAGTTGTACAAAGCACAACTAGAACTTTTTGTTCGGTGGCTTACATACATCTTGAATACTTTCAATGTTGATAAGTTGACTTTTTTGAGTTGACTGCACAGTCACTGTATGTACTAGGAACTGGTTTCCTTGACTTTCTAGAATCAATGACTAGGAAAGGCACTAACCCCTGAGGAGCTGAACATATCACGAAGCTGAGTCAGTATGGAAGAATTTCAAATAAATCAAACAGGGTGCTGCAGTTCCATCTGTCTCCTATGCTTCTGATAAGTTCTTACCGGTTAGTGAATGTAGCTTAAGCCTTTGTATGTGTCCTCAGGGGGCAGACAAACTTTAAGAGGGACCAGATAACATTTGAATGGAGGGATTATATTTCAGGTGTTTTAGCTTGAAATTTATTTTTTAAAAAAAGAAAAATAGAAAAAAAAAAAAAAGAACAAAGCCTGTGCAGCAAAACTGATACTATAAACAGGCAAAGTTTTTTAGCACAGAGAGAAAATATTGACCTGTCTGCATTCTGGTACTGTGGGTGCAGGTCCTAGCATGGTTTATAACATGATACATTTTTAATTCTCACCAGCAAGAAAAAGGAAAATGAACAATCTTCAGGAAATGTCTTTGAAAAAGGGTCAAACAGTAGGAAATTCAAATTTCACCTACTTTATACTGGCATTATTTAATACTTGCCTACAGAAGTATAGCATTTCTTCGGTCTGAGGAGCACCTCAGAAGTGAAAGGAAATCTGAGATAGTTGAAAAATTGGTAGGGAAGGAAGAAAATCCCTGCAGATAATGATCTTATATTAGTTGGCCAAGTGAAATGATCTATCATTGTGTTTGGGAGGAGGTTTTATTTTCTTATGTTTTTAAAATTGAATTGGTAAATGCTTTATAGACGTATTTTTATCCAAGTGCCACTCCAATTTGTGTATGTAATAAAATTATTTATATTAAAAGTGGGAAATAATTTGTCAGCATCTTTCTGTGAGTATAGATTTATTAGGGGTGGCAGAGAAGAGTGCTAGTTAGCAGTTTTCCATGTAAAGTGTCCCCGACTGATTGTCCACATGTCAGTTGTCAACCCCACCCCAAAAAAGGAATTATTTCTAACCTAGATGTATCACTTGAAACTTTTTAGAAACAAAATAATCAGGGAAGTTTCTAGAGAGAACAGTGTTTGCTTTTTTTGGTTTTCCCTTGAGGATTGGGGTAACAATACCTCCCCCCAAAACTATCAGCACAAAACAGGGTATTGATTTTTAACTCTGATGTTGCTATTGGAGTTAAATACTAAATAAAGAACTATAATGAGGGAAATACACTTCTGATAAAATTCCCTACATTCTAGAAACATCCCTGTTTTAATTTTTTTTTACCTAAAACTTTTTGTGCTTTATCTGTGTAAAGAGGAAAAAATGTACTGAGTTACAATGCATTTAATTAACACTATGTACATATTAGCTGCTTTGTGTTCAGAATGGTAGCATTGCTTTGTATATTAAAGTGATCCTTGTGAATTTGTGAAATATTGTCATAAAAGTGCTTTTTCTTACTGTAATCTTTGTGGTATCAACTGTCATAATGCCCTTTTACACACATTTATGTGCAGTCACATAAACATGCTTTTAAAAACTCTGTATGTCTCTTTTTTGGGGATGGGATTTCTGTCTTGTTTGTTACTGGTAGTGTTAAGCTATATTTTCTTGGACTTAGGTTTATTACTTTTGTTAAATGAGCCAAAGTTATGGTAGAATAAATATATCACAAGCTTATGTTGCACAGCAACAAAGACTAATTCAAACAACAAGAACATGTCTTCAGTTACTTAATTTTACTGTCTTCCTAATTTTTAGCACAAGATTTCTTTATTCAGTAAGATTGAATAAGAAAGCCCTGTTGAGAACCAATGGGAGGCATGACCACCTGTCTCTGATGTCAAAATGCTTGTTTGCATTGGAAGAACAGTAAGAATAGATAACTTCTCGGGTCCCCTTATAATTTTGAAGTTCTGTGGTAATATGATAAAAGGGGTGGGAATGGGATCAATCTGCTCTGCTTAATGCATAAGAATAAGATTTCTATACTATTGATTCAGTTTCTGAAAATAATTGCATTTATTCTAAAGTACTTCTTTTAAATTGTCATGATGTGTTTATTAAGCATGTTACACCTGCCGTTGTATAATTATATGAATTTCATTCTACAAAGAGTAACCACATAACTTATTGTACAATCATATATTTTTAAGAGTGACAGTACATAGGGACGACAGGAGTAAACCAGGTTCTTGCAAGCCCCATTCAGGGCTTGGATGGACCTCCAAAAAAGCAGAGTGCTTATCTTCATGTAGACCTCTGCTGTCACGTGCTCATTTCACAAATACTCATTGAGGATACACTTCCGGGCACTGTGAAGTCCCTGTCCTCAAGAAGCGCTAATACACACAGCCAAGGAAACAACTCAAAATGTTTACACAAGTCCAGTTTTAGACCTGAGTTCCAGACATATTTGTCATCACTACAGTATAAAACACGGGT